TCAGTGGTTAAGAGCACTGCCTGCTCTTCCAAAGGTCCTGAGTTCAATTCCTGGCAACCACATGGTGGCCCACAACCATCTGTAATGAGATCTGATGCCCTCTTCTGGCCTGCAGGCATACATGCAGACAGAATATTGTATACATAATAAATAAATAAATATTTTAAAAAAATAAAATAAAAAATATTTAATATGTATACAGTTTTCTGCCTATATGCCAGAAGAGGGCACCAGATTGCAGTATAGATGGTTCTGGGCCACCAGATAGTTGCTGGGAATTGAACTCAAAACCTCTGGAAGAGCAGCCAGTGCTCTTAACCTCTGAGCCATCTCTCCAGCCCCCATGAATATGGACATTTTAACAAACCCCAATTGAATATATTAGTCACTAAAAGATGTCAAGAAGACAATGGGCAAAAAGGAAAAATTCCCTGTGGCAGACATAAAATGGTATTATTTAAACAAGTCTAGGTTATATGGGTTGTAGGGGTTTCATCTACAAAACTGTTTTTAGAAGGCCCATCACTAAACAGACTCATTCATTGCTAACTTGAACAATTACTAAGACAGATTCCATAAACCCTCAGAGCAGTTCTGAGGCTATGGAGTAGTGTGTCAGCAGCGACAGCAGCTCCTGTACCCAAGTGCATGGGAACGCAGCTAGAGTAGAGCTGTCACTGTGGAGGGGATCGCAGCACTAGGTCGGCCTACCTCTGAGTTTATTTACTTATTTTAGTCTTTGAGACGGGATTTCTCTGTGTAACAGCCCTAGCTGTCCTAGAACTAGCTCTGTAGACCAGGCTGGCCTCAAACTCAGGAGATCCGCCTACCTCTGCCTCCCAAGTGCTGAGATTAAAGGTGAGCACCACCACTGCCCCATTTACCTCTGAGTTTATACTGCTCCCCGCTGGCAGCATTCACTGTGAAGGTGTGGGAGTCCTCATCGCTGGGCGAGATCACAGCGCCTGCAAGCTGCAAAGTACCTCTGGGTTTCTGATTTCTAGACTGTTCATTCACAAAGTACTCCAATAGCCCAGCTTCATTGTTTAAAACAAAAAACCTGCAATGAAGTTAAGAAAGTGATGAATTTTAAACCTTTGTCCTAGCCAAACTAACGCATGCAAACTGCAAGCATTTAAAAGTTATAGTGGGCTTTCATTGGAAAACAAAACAAAACTAAAACTAAAGCATGGCAAGAAGGAAACCAGGAACTACACCACATTTCCTAGGACAAAAGTTACTTTAAAATTGGACACATTTAATAAAGGTACAAGACAGCTGGGCAGTGGTGGTGCATGCCTTTAATTCCAGTACTCGGGAGGCAGAGGCAGGTGGATCTCTGTGAGTTTGAAGCCAGCCTGGTCTACAAGAGCGAGTTCCAGAACAGGCACCAAAGCTACAGAGAAACCTTTTCTCAAAAACAAAACCAAAACATAAACAACAAAAATAAATAAATAAGGCACAAGCCACAGAGCTGAGGGAGAAACATCTATTTTACGTAATTTCTGTGGTGCTGGAGATCAAATCCAGGGCCTCACATACCCTGGGCAGACACTCCATCCGAGCTCCTTCTCAAGCCCCAGGAGAAGTGTTTCCCAGGGAAGAACACAGTAAGCACCCCTTCTTTAGATGGACACTCTCCTGATAAACTGCACAAGAGGGCAGGGAGACTTGTTATGCCAAATATGAACTCTAGGCTGGTGTGACGCCAGATAAAAATGACTATGGGAATTGCAGAGACATACTGCTCTTGCAGATGACCTGAGTTTGGTTCCCAAAAGCCATTCTTAAAATCACCTATAACTCCAGTTCCAGTGGGAGCCAATGCCCTTTTTTGGTCTCTACAGGTACCTACACACATACACATAAAATAATAATCAGTCTTTAAAAAAATAACCCTCAGTAATCAATATGAATTTTAAAGGAATGAATCTGATCTACGATTTAACCAGTGAACCGTACACTTAGAAAGATGTTGTGACTGTATCTTTAGATAGGTCACAAGTGAAGGTTACTTACCTTGTTTAAAAATGAAAAGACTGCAACTGGAGACACAGAACACAGGGAACCTGAGACTAAATGATGAAATACTGATATTCCTTGGCAAAGAATTTAATGGAACACTGGTGGACTTTGGAAAAGAATTTGATGTTCTGATTCAGTTATAGACTAGATAGTTTAGGATGCATCAACTAAGATCCTAAATTTCAATAGGAAAACAGATCTTTTTATAAAAAATTTTTGTCTTTATTTCTATGACATGTTTGAAAAACATTAATCCTAGTCTGTGTTGTTTAAGGTAGGAAGAAAGCAACTTGAATTATCCTATCATATTAAAAGCAGAATTCTCCAAATGCATGTGAATTAGAAACAATGTGATACATGGTTTTGTGAAAATAAATTGTCTATTAAAATAGACCTTAGACTCAAAATTATTTATTTACCAATTTTAATTTAAGTACTTTAGAGAGCATTTGAGGGCTGGGGAATGGTTCAATGAGTAAGCACGTGCGCTTGCCAGCATGAGGAGCTGACAGCAAACCAGCACCCACATGAAGTCTCGCATGCTGTGCATGCCTATCATCCCAGCAAGGCAGAAATAGGAGGACTCCGACAGCTGAGGCAGAGAATTAGAACCTTGTGCACGGAACTTTGCAGGTCAGAGCAGAAGGGGACAACCAGGCACAAGGGCAATATCTGTAGTCCTAGTCGCTCCAGATGCTGAGGCTCAAGAGCACAGACTCAGCCTGGGTCACATAGAAAGGGCTCATTTATTTTATTTTTGTCTTTTGAGTCAGGATCTCTTTATATAGCCTGGCTGTCCAGGACCTCGACATGTCGACAAGACTGGCCTAATTCACAGAGATCTTCTTGCCTTGACCTCCTGAGTGCTGGGATTAAAGTTGTATGCCACCATGCCCAGCCACAGCTCATTTCTTTAAAACACACACACACACACACACACACACACACAAATAATTAATTTTTAAAATTGGGCCAACAAAATGGCTCAGTGGATAAGGGAGTGTTGTCAAGTCTGAGGAAATCAGTTCAATTCCTGGGCACCACACAATGGAAACAGAACTGACTCTAATCTCCACATGCTTGCTGTGATATTCAGGTACACAGGGGTGTACTCATACACATTCACATATAACATAAAAATAAAATAAAAACCATCAAAGAGCTGGTTGGTGGTAGCCCACATCTTTACTACCAGCACTCAGGAGGCAGAAGCAGTCAGACCTCTGTGTTCGAGGACAGCCTGGTCTACAGACTGAGTTCTAGGGCACACAGAGAAACCCAGTCTCAGAAAAAAGAAACAACAACAACAAAAAACTCAAAGTTGTGATACAAGTCTAGATTCATACAGGTGAATCTTGAAATTATGCAGAGCGAGATAAGAAGTCACACAAAGGTCACATATTGTAGGCTCCATGGACATGGGGCAGAAGTATTAAAATCCAGAGACCAAAGTAGGGTGAAGGCTTGTGGAGGGATACTATTATATAAAGCACAGAGGTTTAGACTGAGACGATGAGGAAGGTTCTGGAGACAGGTGATTGTTACAGTTGAACAAAATGGTGACTATATTTAAAAAACACTGAGTTGGATGCTTTAAATCCTATATATTTAATTTCAATTTAAAAAGTAAAAGCTTAATACCTCTGCCTGCAACTGTGAAGTCCACATGCACTTGAGAGATCCAGGCCCTGCTCACCCACTGCCTGTGTGGCTATAGGCTGCCTAGTTAACCCTCCAAGGTCACAGAGTTTTGAGAATCAAGCACAAATGTCCATTTTCCTCACCTCTGCACACAGTAAAAACACATGGCAAGTGAACACAGCACTCTATTCTTAATGATATTTCTGAGAGTTAGAAGCTGCCACTTGGACATATGTCAACCTCTCCACCTAAGGAAAATGCCATCCACTTGTAGGAGAGATAAGGTAGACCTTTCTCTAAAAGGCTCCCAGCTATTTGTACTGATGTCTGCATATAACACAATCAGCTCCCAATCTCTTAGGAAGCTGACGAGATAGGAAATCAACTTACCTATACTGCCACCCAGTGACGAGGTTGGTGTACTTCATTAAATAGCCATAAACATTTTCCATGTGGTCGCTGTTTGAAAGAGAGGAGAAAACTAAAGTTAGTGAGCGGTAAGAAGAAATCCCAGCGAGGCAGCTGTGCAGGTTCGCAAACAGCTGCAGAGACATCAACAGTCATGTGTGCCTTTAGTCTCTGCCCTCAGGAAAGCAGAGGCAGAATTCTGTGCGTTTAAGGGCAGTCCAGTCAACATATGGAAAGATAGGCCAGCCAGAGCTACAGAGAGTCCTGTGTCAAAACACCAGAAAAAAAAAGAAAGTCAAACCCTTCAGAAGAAAAATAAACAGATTCATTGAGGTCCCTGATCCCCTCCTCCAAAATTTTATTTCTAGGATTTTAATTTACCAAATTTCTTCAAAACAAGTACAATAGTCCACTTCTTACTAATATTTCAAATATAAAACTGTATAAATACAGAAACAAATACACTCTGTGTGTTGTATTTAAAACAACAACCCCGGGGCTGGAGAGATGGCTCAGTGGTTAAGAGCATTGCCTGCTTTCCCAAAGGTCCTGAGTTCAATTCCCAGCAACCACATGGTGACTCACAACCATCTGTAAAGAGGTCTGGCGCCCTCTTCTGGCCTGCAGACATGCACACAGACAGAATATTGTATACATAATAAATAAATAAATATTTAAAAAAAAAAACAACAACCCCAAAATGAGTTCCTGAAGAGCCTTCCTCTGCTTTGGGCACTTAACACACAATCGTTTTCCCAGAACTGTTTCTGTTCTTCTCTGTCCAGGGCCAGAACTCCATACCCTGGCTCTTGCACTTCCTCTCAATCCGCAAAGCCTGAGGTAGAACACACAAGTTACTTCCTCAGAGGATCAAGCTGTTTCATGATTCACCATGGGAACTGCTTCTCAGTCAGCTTCTCCACACCAAGCCTCTGCCTGTAGGCATCCTCCCTAGCTGGTGGCAGTCCTAAAAGTACTGCGGCTGGACTCCCCCAGACTATCTACAAGTGGATGATGGGGAGAAACTTTCCTAAAATCTTAAGTATACTTACTAGCAAAATCACAGATGTGTTAAAGCTATCAAGGAGGGGCTGAAGAAATAGCTCAGTGGGTAAAGTGGTTGCCGTGCACTGAGGACCTGAGTTCAGACACTCCCCCCCCCCCCCCCCCCCCCCCCCCCCCCCCCCCCCCCCCGTGTAAAAGCTGAATGGTGGCTGCACGTGCCTATAATCCCAGTGCTGGAAAGAAATGGAAAGATTCCGGTCAGTCTTGCTCCAGGTCCCAGAATGAGGTAGGGGCTGGTGATCTAGCTCAGTAGGGAAAGATATTGGCCAACAAATCTGTGATAAGAGTTTCAGGTGTTCAACCTGCACTGTAGAAGGAAACAACGTGATTCCAGCAAGTTGTCCTGACTTCCAAACATGCCATGGCACACACTCATGCTTGTGTGTATACACACACACACACACACAGAAAAAAAGTAGAAAGCAAGAGAGAAGACACCTAACACCAATGTCTGGCCATCACATGCTCACATGGGAGCACCTGTACACGCACGCATGCACGTGCACACCTACATGCACACACCAAAAATTAATTAAAGCAAGCCATTAAAAATTGTATCATAGCCGGGCAGTGGTGGCGCATGCCTTTAATCCCAGCACTCGGGAGGCAGAGGCAGGCGGATCTCTGGGAGTTCTAGGCCAGCCTGGTCTACAAGAGCTAGGGCCAGGACAGGCTCCAAAGCTACAGAGAAACCCTGTCTTGAAAAACTAAAAAAAAAATTGTATCATAAAAGCCGGGCGGTGGTGGCGCACGCCTTTAATCCCAGCACTCAGGAGGCAGAGACAGGTGGATCTCTGTGAGTTCGAGACCAGCCTGGTCTACAGAGCTAGT